CTCTCCCCCTCTCTCTCTCTCTCTCTCTCTCTCTCTCTGTGTATGTGTGTGTGTGTGTGTGTGTGTGTGTGTATTAGTGTGTATGTTGTTTACTTTAAATACAGCATTCAAAGCTTATTTCCTAACAGGACAAAGTGCTATATAATAATGATAACCTATAATAAGCATCAATACTTTTCAGTAAACAAATTAATAGAGCAAAGATGTTGCTCAAGATAAAGAGAGACAGCAATTATTTTACATTGATCTCTCAATCAAGAAGAAACAGTTGTATAAAGAAGCAAAGTTCAAGCTCTTCATGGTCGTGCTAATGACCTAGATCTACATTATACAACGTTTGAGCCCATCGATGGGATGATATAAACGCTACAAGGGATACGTATGAATGTATTTATTGCTTGTTTTATTGCAGCTAGCCCATTACACTGCCATAGTTACGATGTGTGATAACGTACAAAGCCATAAGAGGAATATAACACAAAAGTTAAGTAAAGTTGTTCCCGCATCCCATCCGGACATTAGGGATTGCCTTGTTAGTGAGACAACTTCCTGGGTCTTCAGCATATTGTGGTAGGGTGGCCAGTTCCTTTCCACGCCGCCTTTACTTCCCCAACTCAAAGTCAGGTACCCATTACTGCTGGGTGGGCAGGAGAAGGCGAAAAACATCCGTTTCCGAACCGAGACTCGAAACCGGACTTTCGGCTTCGAAGACGAGCGCACTGACCACTCCGCCACCGCAACCTCTCGTTTCTTTAAAAGACAAGGAGAGTTTTCTCTTTAATCAAACTAATTGAATACACACTAATGAAACCAAAATTCCCCTTCAGGTAGGGCAATGCCCACTTTTGGTGTAGGTCAAGATAACACTATTTACATAAAAAGTTAGAAAAGAGAAACAAAAAATAAAAATAAAAATAAAAGTTATTAAAAGCAAAGTACAGCAACAACTCTAGAACAAGAATAAAAGTGTTGGAGGACAAGACATTATTGACAAGGTGCTCAGATGCACATGTAGGCTACTGTTTGTAATTTTGGAAAGAAGAACTCTATTATAGTAATCTATTATATTACAAAGAATGAAACAAAGAGAATTAGCATTTGTAAGATATTTAATTGATTACGTCCCTTGAAAAAAAAGTTCTACAACTCTGGCAGGAGGGGGATTGGGTGAAAAGGGAGAAAAAGGGAAAAGAGAGAGAGGAGTGGAGGGTGGGGTGGGAAGGGGGGTGATTGTGTAATGGGTTCTGTTTATTTTCAAAATTTTTGGTTTTCTTTTACGGAGTTTGTGATCATGCCTACAAGTTCTTTTAAACCAAAAACAAAGTTCATAATATAATAATAATGATACGGGGCGCCCACTACGGATGGGATGGGCCGATCGCCCGACTCGGTCGCCTCAAAAACAAACGTGTAACTTGTTTGTTTCAGGCGATCGAGTCGGGCGGTCGGTCCGATCAAGCCGTAGTGAGCACCCCGTATAAGGATTGCATTTATATCGCGCTTATCCACTTATTCAATGCTCTATATGCTTAACATGAAACTTATTATGGAATTGCAAATCAATTTTATAGGCACATAGTACTACATACGTGTGCACACACACATACATACACACTTACATACACACATACGTACATACGTACATTCAAACTCACGACGATCTACAGCTTGGAAGGATTCTGTCTTATCGAAATATGAAGAAAATAGAAATGCTTTTGGTTTTGTTTTTAAAGATTTCTAGATTTTCTGCTTCTCTGATCGTTTTTGAAAGCCTATTCCAAACAAGTGGGGCAAAATAAGAAAAAAAAGAGCGTTGGCCATAATATGATTCGTAATTTATTTTAGGTTTAACAAGGGTTTTTTTGTCACTTGATGATCTGAGTTTTCTAGGTGGTACGTACGGGGTTAAAACTGTTTTATTACAAGATGTTTGGCTCTAATTCTTTCCTGAAAAAGAGTAAATCAATGTAGGCTACTTTGTTTTGGAATCAACCTACTGCAGCTAAAGAATTAGGACTAGCGCAAAATAATATTCCCATATGGTAATTGAATTTATTTATTTATTTATTTATCTATCTATTTATTTATTTATTTATTTATTTTGTTAGATAAACCTACATTAAATATATATATATAAATATATATACATATATTAAATTTTAAAAAAAAATGAAACATAAGTTGTTATATTTCATTTTCATAGTACCACCAAGGGCGCATGTTATTGTTGTTGCATGCCTTTTAAATTGAAAAATGTACCTTAGTCTGCTGTTAGATAAAACCAAAAAAATCACCGTGCATTAGAATCTCGTAAGTAAGGTGATGGCTCCATTGGAAAATTGCTTCGTATTAATTCTTTGAGGCCGTCAAACACATAATGTGACCTTTTAATTTTTGTAAGAGTTTTGCTGCACTTCCAACCCAATAAGGTCATATAAGTGCCGAAGATTAGAGGTGTTACAAGAGAGTAACAAACACAGAAAAAAGGAGGAGGGAGATAGAGACGAAAGATTTTTTTATAGGAAAGAAGGAGCAAACCACACCAGAGCACCCGCCAACCACCCACATAATATGTCCAATCAGCAGCTTCGTAAGAAGGTAGACAACGTTTCGACCCATCGCCCACCTATCATACACAAATCAAAAACATGACCCCAAAGAGTTTCAAACTGTGTCGATGGTGTGGTAAAAAATTTTTCAAAATTTTTCAAATTCATTTATTTATTTATCTACTTATTTTTATTTATTTATTTATTTATTTATTTATTTATTTATTTATTTATTTATTTATTTATTTATTTACATTTTTTAATTAGAAAAACCTACATTAAATATAGATCTATATATTTTAAAAAATATCAAATGAAACATATGTTGTTATATTTCATTTTCACAGTACCACCGAGAACGTATACTGTTGTTGCATGCCATTTTAAAATTTCAGATAAAGAAATCGAAATAGAAAAAGCTGCTTGAATAATGATGTGATATTCTCCATTACAAAACATGTACAACGTATAGTAACCCTATCCGTACGTCATGTTATACCATCGTATCCATACGACCAGGGGAACTCTGTACCATCACTTTCCAAAGAGGAAATTTACTCGTTAATCCGATCCGTACGCTTTGCACAGCAGTCTGTCAAAATGATATTTTGAGAAAAGAGATCTTCGTTCGAGAAGTTTTCTAAAATGTGAAGAATACAACCCTGTGGATACAAAATGACCCAAGGGCGTACTAAGCTTTGTCAAATGACCAGATTGAATGACGTTCTCAGTGAGTTAAACAGGACTGCTGTGTTGGTACTAGTGCGGGCTAGACGAGGACCCTACAACATAAACTCCTTGGGGCTAGATAGATCTTGATTGCACGAGTCAGTGCGAATGTATGGATTTACGCACACACAATTGGTCGCTTTTAATAAGGACTAACCCAGATTTCGGGGGTTTCCAGAAATCTTGTCCTTCACCAAAAGTGGGAATTGCCCTACCTATAGGAAAAGTTTGGTTTCATTTGTGTGCATATTTGTTTGGTTAAAGAGAAAACTCTCCTTGACTTTTAAAGAAACAAAACAAGGTGAAACAAAAATTACCTTCGATTTTCTCAAAACAGCATTTTTAGGGACAGCCCCCTATATTCAAAGCGACCAATTTTGGATGTGGACTGAGAAAAAATAAAAGCACGTTCATAATATTATAATCTAATCGTACATTTGCTCGCATTAAACTCTAACTGAATAAAACAGAAATAAAACAGCATGTCTTCTATTGTCTCATTTATCTCTTGTTTAGACTCGGTAGATCTGTAACTCCCTTGTGGTAATCAAAAGAAAAAGTTTTGTATCATACCCACAGACTTGAATTAATAACAATATCTATAGGCCTGCACTGGGCACTGCACATTATGGAGCCCACTCTTTGCCCTATATATCATTAAACAAACAAACAAACAAACAAACAAACAAACAAACAAACAAACAAACAAACAAACAACAACAACAACAAACAAAGAAACAACACCAAAGAAAAATTAATAAAAACAAAACAAAATAAAACCACTTCGTTGTGCTGATGACAAGCACCACATGGGTGCACAATAGAAGGGAAATACACAGTGCACACGTCTCGTTATTGATATGAGTGCGTGCGCAACTTTTTTCCTCACTGCCCTTCATCTGGTTCCAAATAGAGTCAAATGGTAGCTGATCCATAGTGTGTGTGTGTGTGTGTGTGTGTGTGTGTGTGTGTGTGTGTGTGTGTGTGTGTGTGTGTGTGTGTGTGTGTGTGTGTGTTGGCGCGCGTGTGTGTGTGAGCGTTGTTAAATAGTCTCAAAACATGCTTTTTCTATACTTTTATTTTGTCACTTAAGTCAGTTAAGTGATAATTCGGTACAGTACACTGCACAGTACTTAGAGCCTTCAAGGAATTAGCGATCTATAAATTCCGATTGATATTATTATTACATCTGATTACATTTTGCTTTTTGGAAGCGTTTCAGAATACTTGCATCACAAAATGAAGCGCCAACGATTTAATGTTTTATGAGAGAGTAACATAAAAAGAAAACGAGGAGAGAAGGACAGTTAAGTTTTAGTACGAGTTTTATGGCACTTACAGCACAATAAAGTCACGTAACTTCCAAACAATAGAGGTTTTACAAAAGGGTAACAAACAAAACAAAAAAACCCCCAAACAAACAAAAGTAGACACCAAGACGATAGATGTTTGATAGGAAAGATGTACCAAACCACCAGAGCACCCACCAGTAACCCGCCGAGGAGAAGAGTTACGGACGATAGACGTTTGACAGGAAAGAAGAACCCCCCCCCCCACACACACACACTCACACACATCTCAGCACCCACCAACCATCCACAGAGGCATGAACAACATCAACTTGCTTGTTACGTGACATCAAAATACACATTGAAACACTTCTGGATTGTGAAAGATGTTATTTATTGATTACAGACAAAATATATTAAATGTATAGATATACAGAATTAATTAATGTACATATACATCTAAAATGTTAATTCAAGTTATAAAAAACTCCCTTTGCAAAAATTAGTTGAGGCATGAACAGACATAAATATGTGTGCTATGCTTGCAGTAAAAAAGTATAGTAGCAAAACCAGCAATATTATAAATGCCCATGCTTTGAGAGCAAAAGAATTATTTACTTGATAAAAAGGGTTTAAAAAAAAATATACACCAACAACTGAATTCAAATAAATGAGCCCAAATTAGAAGAAAAAAAATGTATGAAAGAACATCTTGTAATTTGTATTAATTAATCCAAGGCCAGTTTAAATGTGCTGAATCACCAGTACTTCACAGAGGGAACTATAAGAGAAATCCTTCCCTTTTTATTTTGGTCAACATTTTAAAACTCATCTGTTTGCAAAATGAAACAGCTTTGTTATAATCCTGAGCACACACCATTGAGCTTTAAAAATAAAAGCGGCATCCCAAATGGTGAGCCTCTGTCTTACTCGAACTGGGATATAAGCTCGTAGCCCTGTCAGTGAGAAACGTCATGAAAACAGAATAGTCTTACTGGCCAGAAAGTTATTGAATTATGTCATGGATTTAACGTTTAGATGAAAGGCCTTCGATCATAATTCAGGTGAAAGTCCGAGTATGCTACACAGTTTCCATCCATTTCCCGAAACTCTCGATGCTTTTCCCTAACAAAGCAAAGCAGTGGCACTGATCAAATCGATAATCATCTTGAAGAACAATTACTTTTATTATTAGCTAGATCCTTTGACTATGAAAACTGCGTATATAAGACATAAGGCTGTTGTTTAATCGATATAAGAGTAGGCAGACCACTGAATAATACGTGTTAACATTATGTTAAAAATGAAACGTTCTACTGTTGCACCGGTTCTAATTTTCTCTCTTTTAGATAGAAAGGACGCGCATGTTGGATTCATGACATTAAAGACGTCGTTCAAGTGTACTTCTGAATGCATCCTCCCCCATTCTCTCAACTCAGGAAGACTCCAATGATCACATAGCTCACTGTTGTATCTTTCTCAAGTCAATTAACACTCAATAAACAGAATCAATAACATTTCAAGAACTGAAGAATTCCAAAAACTTTGACAATTCAAATTCTACATCCTTAAAATTCTTTGATATTTTTAAAATCAAATTAGAAAACCTCATACCAAACATCGTCACTTTTAAATTGTCTCTAATCTTCAAGGCTAAGGCTAGGAGGGAGGAAAAACTCTTTACCAGTATCTGAAATGGGCATCGGACTTAAATGTTCTCTGAGTCAAACTAGTTAGAATGAAAGTATATTCTGTACAGTAATGATAGGCCCGATTCAAACATACACGTATGGTATAAATAAATAAAACAAGAAGGCGTGAAAATGTATATCCCATGTACCCATGACAATAATTGTACACAATAAATCAACAAGCAAAGGAATAACAATAAAAAGGAGTTGCAGGCTTTTTCAAATATAAAGAGGACACAGGATGCAAAAGCATAAAATGGTCAGAGAAAACAGAATATATAATTCAAATGGAAAAATATGTCAAGGACATAGATCAAAGAATAATTTTGCTATACAGAAGAGCATTTGGTATCACAATATGCATGCTGGTATGGAAAAGTTGCGCAGATAGATAGATAGACAGTAGAAGACAGTAAGGCCCATAACTCTTCAAACAAACAGTCGCCATGGGGACATGCTGCACAAACAACTAAGCCTGATATGTCAATGGCGTAATGAGACTATGAGCTGTACAAGACAATTAAAACTGGAAAATAGCAGAGCTAAATTTGCTGCGTAACAGTTGTTACATACAATGCTTCCAGTGCTTACCCAAAAGAATTGGCAAAATTGGCTAGCAAAAAATGAGCCCCAAAGACGTACGTAAACGTAAAGAAGAACTAGACACATACACAAAGTCACATTTAGTCTGAAACTGGATGAAAGTAGGGGAAACTTTCTGAAAACAGAAGTAACCAACCAAAGGACAACAGTCCTTATATATTTAGTTCCCCTTGTTGAATGGATAAGGGATGGGAATTTACTGATAGTGTATGTTACACTAATGAGCATTAAGTTACGCATTTCAACTGAAATACAGACAAGAGATGAAATATAGCATCAAAACCAAGTTCTCCACAAAAAACAAACAAACCCCCCCCAAAAAAAAACAAAAGAAAAAAAACTGCTCGGGATGTCTGCTGTGACTATTTTTTAGAATTTGTCAAAGACTACAAACTGGCATTTGAACAACCACATAACAACACGTCTTTCAAGTCTTTAAAAAAGACTGCGAGTGGGATAGACTCTGCCTTGGAGACACAGAGTCTGAACATTGATATCTTTTTATATAGTTTATTATAGAGATCAAAACGTAAAGAATACGCACTCCACATCACGCATCCTGAACGAATTCCTCAACCCTTAAACACGTGTACTGAGTTCCTCAATCATTCAAGGGTCATCGGTTTAAGGCAGATAAATATGCCGTACTCATACTACTGACACTATCAGTCTCACAAGATGCGAGTTAATAAATCTTTAATGAAAAGGTGAAGAAAATGAACAACCATTCAATAATAATTTTTCCTTTTTTGCTTCACACTGACAGCGAAGGTGAGAAACTTTCTTTTTAACACGATGCACAAATGGAAAAAAAAAGAACACAACTCACAAGTTCACAAACAGCTCCGAGAGTAATGATGCCCTAAAATCACACAACATTTTTCCCTCACACGTGCAAGAAAGAAAAGACACTTTGTTTTAGGAAATCACTTTGTAGACAGAGTACGAGTTCAGTTGGTTCAGCTCGGCAGTTTGCAGTTGGAACAAAAATCTAACAAACCCTAGCCAGTCTTAGATATCTGTGATCAAACGGTATCTATATTCATTGCTGCTCGGAACTTTCATTTCTTCTTAGATTGGTCTTGATTTTATACAAATAGGTTCAGCACGACTGGCGTTAAAGGCAAGTTAGTTATACTGAAAACTTTGAGGAAAAATTTGCTTGTGTGCAAAGGAGAAGCAAGCTTTCCCTCTTCTAGAAGTCAAAGGAAGAGAAATAAGAATGTTGAAACAGCAGGGGGCATGTAATCATGTTGATGAAAGAAAAGAACAAACGTTTCTTCAAATTTACATGCTGACAGTGAACGAGATGGTACATGTGTTGTACAAAATGGCAAAAACCTGGCAAAGTGAAAAAATTAAATTGGCAGAGATTGTTATTTGGTTTGATTTTTCTGAAACACCAGAGTTGATTCCATTTAAATTCTATTGTTCTATTGGTGGGAGTTAAGAACATAGTATACAGTTACAAACTATAGAGTCTGGGTCCTCTCTAAAACACTGAAATTTGCAAAAGTTGTTCTGCTTTCATCTCTGCCCATCCAGCTCAGGAGAACAATTGTAGAGCCATACTATAAATGCAAGTGGGCACTTAACATTCAGACTTGAGTGCTCACTTTTGGATACATAGGCAGCTCTATAAAGTGTGGATCTGTATGGTAAAAGGAACTAGGACACAAGGGAGAATAAATAAGATTTAGAAATTGCTCTTAACTCCAGTACCAGTACACTGTAAATCCTGTTCTCAGGCTCCTTTCTCTTATCTTGATAAAACAAACTCAAGTTATTTTCTTGTGATTTTCCCCATTATGTATACTAAGTACCGAGACTTTTTGGACTGCTCTTTAGTTATTACAGTATAGTAAGAGCATACGGGAGTGGGGGTGGTGGTGGTGGGAATTGTAAAGGATGCTGCAACGCTTTCTTCCCAGAATTCTA